ATGATTGTGTACGGAGCTCTCAGCTCTGAGGTAAGTGCACTTGCCCACTGGGCAGTACCTTCTACAACAAGATATCATGTGACTTCACCCACGTGGTTACATAAGTCCACTCAAATTGCAAGTTCTAGGGCGACCGTCGAGAGTTGCCAGCGATTGAAGTTGGCGAGAACGGTAAGCGAAGTGCGATGCTGGAGCATTCGTCTATCGCGAATGACAAACGAGCAGATGACGAGGCAATTCCCTTTCTTGCCTCGACCAGGGCTCTCGCAAAGTCTCGTGTGCACCGTTGTCGCAGGACTCGTAGTGAGCCTTGTCTGATTGGCTGTGCCGGGGAGGTAAAAGGTTACGGAGCACAGATGAATCGAATTTGCAGATCTGAGGCAGGACTCAGGCGATTGCGCGCTGGCCCAGCAATTTGAGAACAGGGTCCGCAGTCTTGACTTGCAATGTCATCGGCTTGGGATACGGTAGCTTTTCTCTGGCGTTGTTGGACACGTGAGCTTCTTGACATGGTCTCGTCATTCAGCAGCACCGGAGTCACGTGACGGTTCCCCGAAGAGGTGCAAGGTACGGTCTGCCAGGCAGCGGGAAGTGAAAGAAGTGAGCCAGAATAATCTGTAACGATGTTCGCGCCCTGCAGATTTTATTCGTTCTGCAATTGTTGTTAGGGTGGACTTTGGCAGCGTGTATTTCAAGGCGCATGGTTGGCGGCCGGCGGTTGGCGATCGGCAGCTTGTGTTATCTCGTCGAGCAGACGCTCCGCCACACTTTGAGCCAATCACAGATTGCTTATGTCATCTGCAGCGCCACATTAGTAAGAGGGCCTGCGGAGTCGTCAAGTCGAGCTGCTCGATGGCTGCGACTCCCAATCTGTCCCATATGCCCGCCGGCCACTACGCTGCCTGGCAACTTTAGGCCCTCGAATGTGCTTGACACATTATTAACTCCGCACATCGCTTCGGTCATATCGGCGTCTATCCCCGCAGTCCGACACCGTTAAGACACCAAGATCAGCAGAAGGATGGCAAGTGCTGCTCTACCAACCTACAGAATGGCATTGATTCCGTCCACTGGACGACGCGTGTAATAAAAGCCACTGTAGCGGGAGTTGTTGGAAGTCTCCGCTTACAGACAAGCGCGACATGGTCAAATACTCGCGCGACAATGTGATGCAGGTGCAATTGAGATCGCAGAAGAGGGCTGCTTTCAAATATAACAGTCATGTCAAGACATCATCACTCCTTGAGTGGACATAGGTAAAGCATCGTGGAGGTGGTCCTGAGGTCGCGCATGCCTGTTATGTCGCACCCGCGAAAACTTATCGCGACTGCCTGCTGCACGCGCGCTAATCCACCCGATTGGGTCGGTGATGTTGACCGACTGCCTCTACACTCCCTCGGCTCGACCAGCACTACGCCATATACTGCCGGCGGAATGCCTCCCTCCCTTCGTTCGCAGGACAAGCTCCCAGATGAATTCGAATCGCTGCTGCAAAGGCTGCAGGAAGCACGCACGCATCAAGAGTGGGCAACAACGTTACGCGCAACCGTCCAGGCGATCCGTGCACAGCGCGCTTCCGTTGATAGCTTTTTACATCAACTATGGGAGACTGTACATGAGAATGAGATCTTTGGTAGTCGTCCCAATGACACGGATGGTTTGCCTGTTCCAGATCACTGTTTCCCAAGAAGCCCGAGCCCTGCTATGTCAACGGCGATGCAAAATTGGGGAAGCAACTGCTTCGAGGTACTCTGGCGCCGAGGCGCGTATATCCCGCAGCAGTGGAGTCAGAATTTTGGCCAGCATATGGTGTACCTGGCCAAACACTTCCGGCTTGAGGTGTTCTCGCAAGCTGCTATAGAAGTGTTGAGGAAGAAGCGTCCGACCGGCAAAAAGACAGCCATTCACGTCACAGGTTCTCGGCTCCTCCAAACCGCAGATCTACAAGATATTAGACTTCAGCTGCAGCCGAACAAGGTCAAGAGAGCAGGCACTACATCAACGTCCGAGTACACGGCGAAACGCACTGGAAGCGAGCTCGACAATACTGCAGTCGTCGCAAGCCTACTGGTGAGAAAGAAGACACGCACATTGCAAGATACTCCAGAACAGGCACGGGCAGCGCAACACGCAGATTCAGGGCTCCATGAAGCGCCTACACCATCGCGTTCTACTACTCGGGAAAGTTCATACATCTATCCAGCAAGCCCAAGCAGTTCTCAGGCTGCAGTGCACGACCCTCTCGCGGACGAAAGGTTTGCTGAACCACAGCTAACGTACGAGAGCGACATCACGGACGCAGACGCCTTGCCGCGTTCCGTGCAAGGTAGGAAATCAAGAGCATCCGAACCAAATTCATCTCCGCAAACTCAGCCGTTGGACCGCATCAGGCTAAGCTCTGATCCCAATGCCCCACATCTGGACCAACGGTCGGATATCCGAGAATCAGACGCATACCTCCTCAGCGCGAGCGAGCTCACCGATGACAATTGGGTCAGTCATCTGACTGTGTTTACGGTGCTCCAGCGAGTCATGACGCAGAGAACAAGCAGGCTGTATGACATTGGCAGCCTGAGCTGCCTTTCTTCTTTGGATGACTGGAGCCCAACAATGCCGACGAGCTTCGACGACCGATTCCTTCTTATTCCATTCAACTTACCATTGACCGTCGGTTTGAAGCCAGAGAGCGGAGAAGACAGGATGCGCCACTGGGTTCTCATCGAAATTGATAACCAACAACGTCGATACCGTGTGTTCGACCCTCAGATCGAGATCACACAGAGCCGGAAATCCGAGGTCATGAGCATCATCAGAAACATGACAAGTGGTCTAGACGCTGCAGAAAATGCAGAATCAAGACCATGGACCGATGCAACTCCTTCATCAGGCATCCCGCAACAGGATAGTCCAGGAAGCTGCGGTGTCTACACAATGTACTTCACGTTGTGCCTTGCAGCTCGGGCCAACATCAAGGACATTGGTAGTCTTGTGTTGCGGAGCTTCTTCAAGGCTCTAGTCGCAACTGATGCCACAGGCTGCACGCCACTGATTCTCATAAGTCCTGCTGTGCTGCCTGCCGAAGATAACCAAGCCGATTCGCACATAGACATTGCAGCACTTGTCAGGAGCTGCTCAGATCTCCAAGTTTTGTCGTCAGAGCATCTACCTACAATCTCTTCGTTGATGGACCAAACGTTCGAAAATTTGACAACGGACAAGACAGAACTCATGGCATCGATACAAGTAGCCACAACTCGTCTTGCGATGCTGCGCGAGTACCAATCGAGTCTTGAGACTCTTCGCGCTGACAGTTTCTTGCAACATCACACCGACCGCGCCCTTACCGCGCAACAATTACTTACCCGCAAAGTCATCAGCCAAACGCGGCTTCTCGAGCGGCGGCTATTGCAAGCAGAAGTTTCCACAGCCAGCGTGCAAAAGGCTCAGTCGATCCTATCCACATGGCAGGCCACAAGCGCTCAAAAGCTCCAGGAGCAGAAGCGGCAATACCAACTTGCCGCAGAGAGGTTCAACAGAACCTACACCAAAGAGCTGGAAGACATAAAGGCGAGGCAGAAGTTGCTCGAGCTTCGGAAGCACGCTGCAGAGGAGGCAAGCTTACGGTTTCAAACACTGTTTTAGTAGCTTATCGGTACGATGAAGGTGACTCGCAATTGTTGTAGCTTCGCTCAAGTTAATATTGATCTGGTCCCAAGATGTTCTTTTCGCCTCCTTGTCACAGAGTAGCGTTTTCCCAATGTTTTCGCGCAGCGTATTCCGAACTCGCGAAGTCGCAAAGTTTGTTATGAATCATCAAGTGAAGAACGTAAGCTACTCGCACAACTTTCCTGCTCGAAGCTCGACCAGCTTTCGTCTATCGCTATAGCGCTTAGTCTTTGCTTTTGGAACATTTGTGTAGAGACTTTGGCAACCTCACCGTTGATGTCGGCGTTTCTCGCCACAGCAACATTTTCCTTTGCAGAGTTTGGGTCGCCTTGGCACTACAGCAAGTTGCCATAGCCTGACAAGTATGCAGGATCCACATCCTCGGCGTTTGGTTAAGGCCGTCCGTGTCATCGATGGCATCCATGTTTGCATCTTCGATGTCATGGTCTAAGCCCCTTTTGGCTGCTGCGTGCTCAGGACTGTGCGTATTGTCATCCCTGGCATGACCTAGTTGATCTTAGTGTGCGTGCCGGCTGTGGTGCGGGCGTTCTGCTTCGACTACCAAGGATGCATCTTCACCCGAGCTCTCGTTGCTGCCCTCCCCTTGAAAACGACCTTATCGTCTTCAACCTTACTCTTGGTCTCGAAATTCGTCTTGAGTGATGCCAAATGTCCGCCGCTCTGCGAGCTTCGCCTTGAGCGAGGACTGAAAATCAGTGAAAATCAGTGAGGCAATCAGTGCAGGTTTACAGAACAGCCTCGGCGTGGACTGTTACGCTATTTTAGCCTGGCTTTTCTAAGTTCGATTACGCTTCTGCAGGCGCCGCCATTAGCTTCCCAGTAGACTATCACGTTCGTAGAGGCTGTGCGGTGAGCGCCTTCGGATCCAGCGGCGGTAGTATTCAATTAAGAGAGACGTATGGGTATTATGCGCGTGAGCAGCCCCTACTATGAAAACCAAAAACTTCCATCAACAGCTTACCAAGTTACAGGTTGAGGAGAAGCTCAACCGTGATATTTGGAGTCTCTCTGAGCTAAATGCTTCGTCAAAACGATAGTCGTTGCTTCAGGCCGCGAGGCCGGACCGTCGTTGCAAAATTGCCTTGGGAGAACCAGGGGGTAAGTGATGTGGCTCACATCCTTGACAACATCGGCGTCTTCAGAGGGGCGAAGCTTTGATCTTGCGGCATTGTTTGCTATAGTATATCCAGCTAATTTTTTCTAGAAATCTGGTATTGCGTGTCGACTAGCGTACCTGTATGTTCTGTTGGTTTGTTGGTCTCTAGGTGTGAGGAATGCTTATTAATTGTTTTTCAGGGTTTTGCACTGCATGCCACAAATTACTAAACAGCTATCAACATATAGAATGATCTGGCCCCACCTACGGGGCGGCTAGAAAGCGTGTTTGATGTCCTTCAAAGCTCCCGTCGCTTCGGCATCGAAGACGTGAGCGTCGGATGGTCGCTTTCTTTTGCCGTGGATGACGTAGACTCGCTGTTCGCTGCTAAAAATTGAATCAGTGTTATCAGAGAAGGCTAAAAGTGTACAGGAAGGAAGGGACCGCTGTTCAGAGTCTGCAGAGGCAATCTGGCTGACATGACCAGTCGTTAGATAAGCTGCAATCCTCCAACTACCACAGTGTGCCGCCTTCTCTCCGCTTGCTACCCGCCAGCTCCAAGTTCTTGGCCAAGCCGCCGTCCGCAAGAACTACTAAGCGTTTAGGTTCTGTCAAAGTTTCGCTGAGCTACCAAGATGCTGTAATTCTGTTACTGAGAATCCAGATTTCTTATTTTCACTGTAGCCAGCTAAGCCTGGCCATCCGAGAGACATTGCCTGGTCAATTGTACTGGCCTTTGGGACCGTGTCTAGCAGCGTCATTTGCTAGCCTACGGCACGTTCAAAGACCGCCTTCCAAGACTTAAACGTGGCCATCATAATCCAGTGCCATTTGTCTCCTTGAAACTGCCCATCGCTGCAAACTCTCCTTCTGCACCTAGTTTGGCCGCGACTTAAAGTCATGAACCCATTCTTGATGGTCTCCTTCTGGCTTGCATTACTCGACCTCCTTCCTCCAGACGCGGCTGCGTAGGAACACCAGTGATCTGTTAGACCATCTCTGGTGGTCTTTGCCTACTGATTGTTAACAGCGACGCAATGCTGCAGTAGGCTCTTCTGGTGATGCTGGTCTCGTGGCTCCCCAGGTAGCGTTAGATCAAGCTCCCGCGTGGCCAGGCTGATTAGGAATGCTGGGACTGTCTCTCATCGGATTCTTCGTGACGGAGCATGCCATTTTCGCTGCCCTGTACCCGCTCCTCCATGCAAAGTGATACAGTCAAAACTTACGCTCTGAGTTGGTGACAATAAGTCTGGCGTGCCGGAGTCTCCTCAGACCGCGAGAGGTTTAGGTGCCGTCGTCGCTGCTGCCTCAGTCTGAGACTTGTTGGAGTAGTGATTACACTCCCAAAGCCTTGGCAATGACGAAGCAGATCACGATCAGTTCGATGTCTTTAATGTAGCACCCCGCTTCTTGGCGTGACTCGCAGAGTATTGGCTGAGCAGTATAGATCGTGCACGAGGTATTGCAGATCCTGGTGTGGAAAGCATCTCTCGCTGCAGTAGTATACACGCTAGCAGTGTCTTCCAGCCTTGTATCGTCGTTCGTGTTGCTGCTGTGGACTAGTCTTGCCATCCAGGGACGTCAGGTCGTGAATAGAGTTGATTGAGTCATGAACTACAGAGCTGGAAGAAGTGCTTAACATCAACCAAGTGGTACTTTCGTTGCCTGGATAGCCAGATTTTAGTTTCCAACGTCATGGTCATTCGTGGCGCTCATAGGCGTCACCAAGAGAGAGACACCATGCGTGAGTGGCCTGTTGTAGTGCCAGTCATGTTGGTTCTGAGGCGAGCACTTGCATGTGGCATCCGCGACGGCGACGACGGGATTCAGGCTGTGTCTTTTGACGAGACTAGTCTCCCCCCTAAAGACCTTTGACGTGGACACGTTGTTTAGACCGGTAGGCGTGCAGAGCCCATATTGCCTTTCCTTCTCTCCGCCCACCTCGACTTTGAGCATGCTATCAAGCAGCTCAGAGTGCTCTTGCATATACCCGTCAGTCGCATGTCAATGTTGCCAGCTTCGGGTCTGTCCACAACCTGGCATCATCAAACACTGCTCTCAACAGATTTCTGTAACTCTCCGCTTTCGCTACTGTCCTCAACGTCACTGTGCCCAGGACAAGTTCTCTTCAGTCGCCTTCGCAAATCCTTGTAGGTCAGCCAGCTGAAACATGGCTAGCCTGAAGGGTACATCAGGGAAAATAGACTAAAGGGTCGAAGGTCCTGCTTGAGTATTGCTGTCCGCTATAAGCCTATACCATAGCTTCGTTCCCCATACGCAGCCCACATTGTCAAGCGTTTGCCATCGGTCCGCATATCTGCGCCCACTCCGCCACTCACGTTATGTGTTTGTCCTTCTCCAGCTTTCCTCGTCATCCCTTGCTTCCAGTCACGTGTTAGGCGACATGATATGCTTTTTCGCCTTGACATCACACTAAGATGGCACGTTATTTCGTGAGGGTCCTCTTTTGTCGTGACTCCTGCGGGGAGAGAGGGGGTTTTGGTGACAGACGATGTTTTCTAGAGGTAACGGTAGCGAGTTTAGGCTTAGTAGAACAATGCGGGGCATAAGCACGGCAGTAACCTCGAGCAAATGGCCTGTCGCCTAGAACACACAACAGTCCCAATGTAACACATTGGTGGCCTTTAACTAGGTGATACAACGGCGCTTTCTCCACCAGGAAAAACAAACGCCAACTTTAACCTTCACCAGCTCGCCGCCCAGCCGAGCTTTGCGCCGCGCGCTTGAGACTGCTTCCTCCTGCAGCTTCAACACCATTTCTAGACAGAACTCAAGTCCAGGCACCAACATGTTTGATACTCACAGTTTCTCCCCTTTCCTCACGCAGGAGACCCGAGCATGAAAGACCTCCTCACAACTACTCGTTTCCGTCCCCACCCCGGCCAACACATATTCTCGCTCGACCAGCTCTTGAGACCTTCCACTACAATCTCAACTCCTTCTACTTACCCAACCTCATGCACCCCATCGGCTTGGCCATTGAGATGATTTTCCTCTAGAGTCACAGCCTCTCCTCTCGATACAGCTCCTCCATCCCTGTCTAGAGCTGAGTTGGTCCAGCGTAGATGATCTTCGCGATTTGAGACCATGCTAATCTTCTCATACTATGTTCAAGATTGCATTGACTTTGGCCTCGTCAAGAGCGTCGAGCAGGACTGAGCCATGCATAGGCCGCGGTAGCCGGATATTTGGTTCCCGTGCTCAATTTGTTCGCCGGCTGCGCTCAGTATACCGCCCTCCATGAGTACAAGAGAAATACCAGCGGTACCGCCATTTGGCCTGCGATACAAGCCGTGGAGAACATGACAGTAATTACTGATGGGACTTTTGCCGCATGAGCTCCACAGTTTCATTCATTGTGGCAAGAATCTTTGCATAACTACACTGTCTGAGACTTCTCCGTGCTTGCGGTCTACAGTAGTGACATTTTCCTTCCCTTCAACATATTAACATACTGATGCTGCGCGCTATCAACGACGCAAAAGGGCCATTGTCACCTAGACCTTCAGTCAGCATCGCGCGTGCTCTTCATCTTGACATGGGCAGCTGCACGACCACGTCGACCTGCCTTTTTCAAACCTTGGGCCCAAGGTTTGATGCTGTTTCTGGTGGTAATCAGTCTTACAGAGCTCCAGCTTCCGTTGTGCGGTCTGCATAGATTCAATTTTGATCCCTCTGGTCACAGCGACGTCTTGACACTCACCCCCCTTGCTGTTCGCCACACTCTTCTCCGTCTTTGCTATTCTCTGCTTCTTATCCATCGTAATTTATCTCTTCTACAATACCAGTCTCTTGCTGTTACGTCGCCATCTTCGGCTGCTGGTCTTTAACAGCAAGTTTCCTGCTGAGCATCGAGATCTTGGGAACCAATCTGCTGCGCTCCCGATTGGCCCTGTCATGCAACCTATCAATGGTCTCGCTTCTTTCGTGGAGAACTTCACTCGATTGCAGTACAGCTCTGCAACCATCAACATTACAAAGCTTGCTAAAGTGCCTACTTTCGCCGCGGGCGATGTCCTTGCAGGTAGCCTCAACCACCGCGGTTTCGGCTTGACTAGCAGTGCAATTGTGGTTATCTTTTGCATTTGCGTGTTGATTAAAGTTTCGTGTCCTCCAGGTACAAAGCCGCAAGAAAAGCCGCGCGCCATGTCATACCGCGCTCAACCTTGTTGTGGCTCACAGCCCGCGGCGAAGAGATGCCAACGCCGTACCTCACCTCCTCCAAGTGACGAGTGGTCTTCTATGAAGAACCCTGCCTAGTATCACAAGGTGCAGAATTGCCTCGCTCAGTGCGATTACGGTAAGTAAACGTTGCATCATTCCCTTGCTCAAGCATGCATTGGAACAAGAAGACAGAGAAAATCGCGACGAAACAGGAGAGTTATGAGTAGGCCAGATAACAAGTAGGCCAGTACAGTCACTGTATTTGAGATACCACCAACAGAGATTCTCCAGCCCACTGATTGTCAAGCGGCGGCTGGTTTATGGATTGCGGTAAGCAAGCTCGAAATGGACACAGCAGACGTACGCACACCACGACCGAGTAAGTCGACTGCAGCCTAGCATCGCCCACTTATTGCAAGTCAAGTGCTAAAGAGACCACTCGGAAGCTCTGGCCCCAGTTACACACTCGTCGCTATTGACGAGTGATGAAACCCAAGAGCGTAAGCTACATGACACCAACGCTTCGCTCTCATCCTTGTATCCCTTAATTGCTATACGGCCGGCTTGGAAGATTATCCCGCTGCTGACCATCACCCGTCTATACCATTTCATTCTCATAGTGGCGGCTATTTGTTCGAACAAGGCTACTTAGTCATGAGCAGCACTTCCAATGCTGGCTAGTCTGTAGAATAGAACCTTTTCAAGAGGCCCGACTTCTGTTCCTGCATAACGTGACGCTACGCAGCAGACATTCGATCCATCTTGCGAAAGGAAGGAAACGAGGCGGTCTTCTCGGGCGGGCTTGTGCTCTGAGCACAACAACGGCCTTATCTCTTTGAGCGGCGCCTTGCCTAGCGGCGGCCTAACAAGCCTTGCACACCGTTTGATGTAACTCAGCAACTCTTCACAGAGGGCGTTCAACACAGGGTCTCTAGCAAGAATACATGACTGCCGCCACTCTCGCTGGTATCTTAGCTCACTTTAGTCGAACTTCTATCCTCTACAGCCTGTCTTGAAAGCCCTTGCCACATAGCCGCGATGAGATCGACGCTCAAATTTCGGATGTGAACTTCGACAGGGTAGCTCTGGTGAAGCCTGGGCGACCGCCGAGCTCATTATCCCACCACTATGCTCCGTTTGTGACACTTATTGAAAGGTTTCAGGAAGCCTACCCTGAAGACGGACGTTTGACGTGCAGTGGCCCGCTCTTGAGCAGAGAATATAGCGCAGTGGACCTTCATGAAGCAGGACCGCCGCCTGAGGTCATCAGTGTTCCGGCTAAAAGGAATGCTGGAGTCCGAGAGAGTGAGCTTCAGGAGGTGCACGCAGCGTGTACAGCGCCGTAGTCGTTGGGGACGGAGGTTGTCGCGGTTTAGGACCTCTCCTTCTCAGCCTCTGCAGTCGCAACTCACCTTTGGTGAGGGCGCGATGCCAGCAAGGGCTAGCGCTGTTTACAATCACTTACCTACATGTACCGTTCGTAGCTTCACAAAAATACAACCTCAGTTTAATCCTTAATTCCTTGCGCACTGCTTGCACTCACTGCGATAGTTATGAGCCTGGCTGCAACCTAGGATTGTTCTCACCTGCTGCTGCAATCGTCACTCTACTTGAGTCGCATGTTGCTATACCGCGTCTACCACAGCGCACCTGTTACCGCGTCCACCCACAACGCACATTGCCTGGATCTCTGCCTAGATCCATTCATACACAACTACAGCCTCTGTAATGGCTGCTGAGTCTAATCCTGCAGTAACGCGTGTCGCTGTTATACTCAACACACCTGACGACTGGTTTACCTAGTTGTTTATTCGCCAAGACGTTGCCAACCGCTACAGTCTCTGGCAGTACATTAATCCTGACGTAGCTAGGGAGCTTCTCCCTGAGCTGACGGAGGCTACTGAGCCTTAACTCATCGACTACCAGGCTGGAGCTACTAGGCTCTCTGACCTAACTGCAGACGACTAAGAGTCTTACTAATGGGAATGTGATTGATGGGAGCGCTGCTGCTCTAAGTACCGCACCTAGAAGAAGGCCTTAGCCAACCTGAACACAGACATTAGCAAGACAATTGCTGTATGCTACATCCACCTAATTAAGGATCACAAGACACCCTACAACTAACTAGTCGCTCTTAAGAAGTTCCTTTGTCCAACTGACGCAACTCGCCGCTGTGAGCTTGCTGACAAGTACAACACTCTTAAGACTGCTCCACAAGCTGCAAAGAAGATTGAGCAATGGCTCACTGACTGGGTATACATCACCACCCAAGGCAAATTAATCACGCTGCTGGAAACTGACGGCAACCGACCGCAAGAGGACTTTCTGATCGCCTGCAAGGCTCTGGATCAGGAATATGCTACGTCCTGCCTACGCGAGATCTTCAAACATGAAGCGCGTGGCACTACTGCAGAGATCTCATCTCTTGAGACATACGTTGCTGAGATGACCACATACCTACGCCGCACAAAGCCTCAATCTACAGGCCTGGCAGTCTCTGCTGCTAAGCTTAGAATCACAAAGCCAACTAAGACTTAATTAACTAGTTGCAGTCACTATAACAGTGCACAATTAATTCCTACCTGCGTATGTAGGAAGCAGCATTGGTACACTAACTGCTTTATCCTAAATCCACGCCACCTAGCACGTCTGAAGACCTATCAGCCTGCAGCTGAGGCTGTACGCAAGGTTAAGGAAGCGTGGAAGGACTCTAAGATCAACACGCGCATTAAGGCTGCTCTTGCGAGATAGTTAACCCGCCAACCTTAGAACACTAGATCACTGCGAGTTGATAATAGTAAGCCACCTGTCAACACTGACACGTTCGTGATATTAACTGGCCCATTACTTAAGCCTCTCCACAACGGCCACGACGGCCACAACAGCCACAACAGCCACAGCAGTCACGACAGGCACAATTAAGTTGACCACAATGATGAGGTTGTTATTGCTATTAATGCTCACACTAAGCCTATAGGATCTCTTACAACAATAGCTGTTGATAAAATTACTTAGACTAAACTACGCAATTAATAGATTGTTAATCTAGGATCTAATACGCACGTTGTTAACACAGAGGTATAGAAAGGCTAGAGGAGGACAAGTAACAATCTACAACGTTGTTCTATTAACACTGGCAATACCTGTATCCTAATTACCGCGTGGGGAATAATAGAACTTGTTGTCTGTACACCACATAGACAGCTAATGCTGGAGCTAACGCACGTCGCGTACGTTGAAGGCTTCTTAACTAGTGTCTTAGGACTTGCTCGCTGCTGATCAGAGTTAATCTACTTTAACTCTGGCCGCGACGTCCTGTACATGCATCAACTAACTAACGTTATTACACAACTTGAATACAATGGAGGACACTAGCTGATTAATGCTGAGCTATCACGCCGACCGCCGCTGTCGCTTCTCTACTTACTGCTAAGTACGTTTAGGGCATTATATTGCCCATTATACGCGCCAAAGCCTGCAAACGTTGTTGATTAACGTGATGCTCATTAAATCTAGGGCCACCTAGGTTAAAAGGCAGTTAACTAGCTTAAATTAAACGTTACTAGCGTCTAACTAATAGGAGACTACATAGACTGTCTCTGCTAAACCTACACTAAAGCTTAAATAACTTACATTATCTTAAGACGCCTAGCTAAGAGCCATGCACAATGACTATTCTTTTAAATTGCAATAGACTTAATCTACATTATCCCTGTGGGAGAGGAGTGTATTAACGGCAGCAAATACGCTCTACACTCTATAGACGAGTACTCAAAGTGGCATGAGATTGCTACAATCAAGTGAAAGGATAAGCTAACACTTACTTGTTAGTTCATGGCCTTGATCTGTTGAATCCAACGTGTGTACAACGCGGACGTAGTCGCCATCTGTTGCGACAACAAGAAAGGATTTGGCAATGATCTGATTAGCACGACAGAAGAGCTAGGAATGCTATACGAGCCTGCTCCAGCTAGTACAAAGGAGCTAAATGGACTCATTGAGCGCGCAGGCGGAGTTCTCACTCAGCGAGCTCGCGCTATGCGCATACACGCTCACCTGCCCAAGAATTTATCGCACGAGATGTATTGCACCGCGGCATACATCCTCAATCGCACGCCCACTGAAGCTCTGGACTGGAAGACACTGTATAAGGTTATATAGGGACAAAAACCACTCGTCGCTTATATGAGACCTATAGGATAACGCGCCTACGTCTACAACCGCAACCTAAGAGCTGCTGACAAGCTTGAATTGCGCACTCTTATTGGCTACCTTGTTAGCTACTATGGCACTAATATCTTCCGCATATGGCTGCCTACAAGGGATACTATTATCGTCACACGCGACGTTGTATTCAAGCCTACGCTCTTCTTTAATAGAATAGATGGCTATGCCTCTACACTAGGCTGGCGGAATGGGTATACTCCAACGTCCTTCGTGGGTACCCCCCAAAACTTTGTCAATAAAACATGGATTCTAGCGAAATAGGGCTTAAAAGAAAGAAAAAAACTACCTCTACATTTCTGTAGTAGAGAGTTTTGTTATAACTATTAAACTGCACAAGCTAGAGGCTAGAAAAGGTTAAAAAAGGGGGGGTACCTAGCAAGCATACCCATTAATAGGTATACTTTGCTAGGTAGTGTTAATAACTTAGCTAATACTAGGCAGAATAAGCTAATTCTTTTTTTATTAGAAGGCGCAATACTAGGCGCTTCTATCGAATAATAGATTATGTAAGCGTATCTCTGCTAGTTAAGAAGCTATAAGCCAAAACGTAAAAAAGCATACCCTACCCATCCGCCAGCCTACTCTACACTAGTAATTAAGGAGGTAATTAAGCTACTTAAATATCTAGAGATACCACAGAACAACAATGTTAGTATTAAGGATCTATTAACTGCTCACCAACGCTGTTGCTAAACAGCACCTGTGACCTTAGCTTCAAGAGCTAGAGGCTCCTAGTTAGGGGGTGAAATAACTAATAACGCACTTAAGGCTAACAACGCACCTAAATTAACTTAACAATAAATTCTAACTCCTACACTATTAGAGGAGGACAACACAATACATATAGTTCCTAAGGGCTATTGCCAACAAGGCAAGAGAGCGCCACAGGACGTTAATCTTAATCTAACTAATACAAACCTAATTATCTCTAGCAAGCGCAATCTAAAGCTAAGAGATCTAAACAACTTTGCTGTACAGGTCTACGCTGCAAGGCTAGGACCTAAGCCTCTTGTTAATTACCTGCGAGCATTCTTAACAGAGATTTACTTAATATCTACAACAGCAGATGAAGTGCCACAAATCTATTAGACATAGCTACTGCTACTGCTAAAGTTAGAGAAGCAGCTTAATACACACATGTTTAGCAATTAATTTCAACATGCAATAGAAATTAAATAGCAAGACCTACGCGCTAAAGGCGTCTTTAGACACACTAAGCAATTAAAGGCTACTATAGATAGTAAGGTGCTACTGCTAATATAGGTCTTTGCTTACAAGATAGATAGAGATAGATATCTCTTATAGTTTAAGGCTTAACTTGTTGTCTAAGGAGACCTCTAAGCCCTAATACACAACACGTACACTACTACACTTACTATCTGCAACTTTTGCGCTCTTATTATAATTGCTAATTACTTTAATCTTGAACTAAAGTAGTACAACGTCCCTACTGCCTTCTTGAACGCAAAAACCAACCGCAAGCTATACACTAAAACACCTGAGGCCTTCCACCATACCAAAGGCGAGATCATGCTGGTGCTCCGCGCCCTGTACGGCCTGAAGGAGTCACCAATCCTATAGTACAATGAGCTACGTTAACAACTTGTCAAGCTAGGTCTGAAGCCAGTTTATGGCTTCCTATGCCTGTACACGAGCCGCTAGCTTATCCTATTTGTCTACGTTAACAACATTGTTATAGCATTTCATTAATTAAATGCTAATTACTATAGTTCCTTTTAGAAGGATCTAGTAGATCTGTACAATATTAAAGTAATAGGAGAACTTACCTAGTTTCTTAGTATCCACATTGTCCGCGACTAAGCTCTGCACAAGACCTAGCTAGTCCAAGACGCTTTTATTAACAAGGTGTGCGCTTAATTTAGCATTAAGGCTGTGGGCAAGGCTCCAGACGTCCTGCTGACAGAGAATTGGCTGCCACAGTCTACTAAGGAGACTAATACTGCTTGTACAAAGCTCTACTAGCAGCTTGTTGGTTCTCTCGCATACATCGCTGTCTAGGGTAGACCTGACGTTGCCTGAACGCACGTTGTCTTTGCCTGCTACCTTATTAACCCAGGACAGTCTCACATCTCAAAGATCTGCCAGACCTAGCGCTACCTGCTCAGCACGAAGGCTCTTGCCCTTGAAGCCTCTGCCAGCGCGCATGACATAGCCAAGTATCTTACTAACAATCCTACATACTGCGATCCTCTCTTCTTTAGATTATCTAATGCCTTGTACGCTAACAAGCCTAAGACTTGCTAGAGCTCTTAGGGATACGCCTTTAAATTTAGAGGACTTATAATTAACTAGAAATTAACTGTCTAGCGCATAGTAGACTGGCGGATGGGTACCATGTACCTAGGGTAGGGTATAGGTAGGGTATAGGTCGCACGGACGTAGGTATAGGTAGGGGAGGGTCGCACGGACCATAGGTATAGGTAGGGTAGGGTTGCACGGACCATAGGTAGGGTAGGGTAGCACGTGACTGGGTATAGGTATAGGTAGGGTAGCACGTGCTAGGTATAGGTTTGGTTTGGGTATATTACTAACCTAGTTTGTATACAACTAACCCTAGGTTGTACTAGTAGATTCTTTCGCATACACAATACTTAGAAGAAAAAGCATCTATAATTAATTATCACAGTCTATTATCACATACTTATGCTCTAAAGTATACAATAGTACAAAGTCTAGAGTAGTAACCTAGATTTTGCTAATAACTACCCATTCCTAGACCCTACCTAGCTACCCTACCTATACCTATACCTAGTCACGTGCTACCCTACCTATACCTATACCCAGTCACGTGCTACCCTACCCAAACCGTTTGGGTAGGGTACCTCATGTACCCTACCTAGTTCCTACCCATAAATCACGTGACTATACCTATACCCTACCCTACCCTACCCATCCGCCAGCCTAGCGCATAGTCACAAAATTAACTATAGAGTCTAAATTACTCTTGCTCTCCCTTACAGCCTTATAGATAGAAGAGTAGATGTGTTTCTTTGCTAGCATTAACCTCACGCTTAACTGTACACCTACAATCTAGTGTAATAACTAGCAAACTGTTAGTATTATTATAAAGCAGCATAATAAGCTTTATACTAAGGTTAAGCATATTAACATCTACTAGCTCTAGATTTAACAGGAGGTTACTGCCTCACAAATTAACATTAAATAGGTCCCTACTAATTATATGCCTGCTGACGGACTCACAAAGATCCTGCTAAAGCAGAAATTTGCAGACTTTGTACGCTAACTTAGCCTTATTGATATTGCTAAGCGCCTAAAGGGCCTACGGCAGGCTGATAGAGACGACCTCAACAGTATCTATATACACTGATCCTGGTCAGCTGTCGTTGACTCCCTGCCTGCGCGTCTACGCCAGCTGGGGGGTGTGTCGCGGTTTAGGACCTCTCCTTCTCAGCCTCTGCAGTCGCAACTCACCTTTGGTGAGGGCGCGATGCCAGCAAGGGCTAGCGCTGTTTACAATCACTTACCTACATGTACCGTTCGTAGCTTTACAAAAATACAACCTCAGTTCAATCCTTAATTCCTTGCGCACTGCTTGCACTCACTGCGACAGAGGTCTTTCTAGAATGGACGGCAGAGGATCCAGCCCACGTTGTCGCGGTTCGGTTGTTCTTAGGGCTGGCGGAAGCACGTTTCTGGGCTCTGGTGCTACCTGTAGAGATGTGCAGGCGGAGATGTTATACAGCTTAGCCGATGTAGACACGGCCGGTTGCGTGGCGGCGGTTTCTTGCTTCATGTGTGCGTTGGCTGGGGTTACGCGCGTAGCGGACCCGAGGTACGCTTGTGCGACGAGACAGCAAGGCTGAACCCACGACTACAAAAATGGAGGAATGGTCCACGTGTAGCAGGCGTGCCATCCTGCAGCGCGTTTGCCGGTACATGTGTCGAATCAAAAAGTCTGCGATCTGAGGCAAAAAATAACAATAAACATACAACAGCGGGTATTCGCTAGTGGTCACCCACCTAACTACTAATCCGCCGGTACGTTGCTTAAATAGGGCTGAGCGAACGGGAAGCCTTGTTTTCAACGTCCTATGGTCGTATGTGAGAGGATATAATAATTAGCTCATAATATTGTTGCAATTCGAATTACGCCAGCGAAGAAGCTGACTCAGCGTGAGCCCGGCTGACAAATGGCATCCTGAATAGAATCGCGGCGCATCAATTCTTTCCACTGTCTGCTGCTCGGCTTCACTACGATCTTGCACCATGTCAAAGCTCTCACCAGCTTCGAGGTCCTGATAGGCAACGTAACCATTTGGTTGCGAGCATGGTCAGCGAGGAGCTTCGAGAGCGTAGTGGAGACCAGGAAGTCGCAGGAAAAGTCTTTGCGAGGAATCCTCAGAGTAGTATCATCATCCAGATTGTGGAGACCTTACGCGAAGTCGGTGTTGTCTGCATGGCAATGATCTGGGCAAGGATGGACTCACAACAGAAGGCTAGCTGGACAATAGCACTTCTCATTATGTTCCGGAAATAGTTCCCCGCGGAAATCCCAAATTACCTGAGAAGTATCCTGCCGGCGTACACATAAGACCGCTTGGGCGTTATCGTACAACAGAGTATCAGCGATGTAAGATCAGATCAACTGGCCCATCGCCAGGATCTGCATGTAAGTGCTAAGGTTTAATTAGGAGATAGTTTAGAGTGTAAAGAAAGTAGGGGAAGGATAAAAGAAAGTAATTACAGTAAGAAGGGACACTAATATTTACTAAGGGGGTGCAGCTAACTACTCTAAAGGAGTTTAAGGCCTATAGTAATAGGAAGAAGGCAAAGATGCCTATACCAGGCCTCGCACTCTCTAGATGAGAACGTCGAGCTCCTAGCAGCAGACCTACGACAGATCAGAGCATGGGGAACAGCGAATAAGGTCACCTTTGCCCCGGAAAAACAAGAGATGATCCACCTCACTTAACAAAAGAGCAACTACACGCCACCCTGTGTGGTGGACAAGCAGCTTATAATTAACCTAATCTTACTAAGTAGGTTAAGAAACCAGCCAGCCCTCTAATAGCTTGGGATCTGGTTTAACTGCAAACTTACCTTTAAGCAGCACGTAGCTACACACAACGCAAAGGCGGCCAAGGTGGCCTATCACATCCGCAGCCTAGCAAACACGGCCTACGGACCACCAGCCAGCTCTCTCCGCAAGGCCACTATGGCCTGCGTATATCCGTCCCTTCTGTATGGGGCTGAGTGTTGGTACAGAGGCCGTACTAAGCCTCCACGAACACTGAAACCTGGCAGACCAGCACAAGTCAGCGCCTATGTTGGATGGCATATAGCGGTCATGGACAAAACACTGGCTATAGCAGCAAGAGGCATCCTCCCAGTGTG